TGGTGATCCCCTGGGGCAGGTTGCCCCGAGAAGCTGTGGCTGCCCCATCCCTGGAGGTGTTCAAGGCCAGGTTGGACGGGGCTTGGAGCAACCTGGGCTGGAGGGAGGTGGCCCTGCCCAGGTCAGGGGGTGGACTAGATGATCCATAAAGGTCCCTTCCCACCCAAACTATTCTGTGATTCGATGAACTCAGCTCATTACTTGAAGAACAGTAGCAGAAATGCTCAGTTCATCATTCCAGCTACATCAAGGAGCAGTTAAGTCATTACACACCTCTCATCCCGCACCTTCCAAAGGGTGCAAACGCGGTGTCTTGTCTGGAGAAGGCAACAGTGGAGCAGAACATGAAGTTACAATACATTAGCACATTAGGAGAAATTTTCATTTTACTAGGGAATTTTGTCAGTGCAAAGCAACTCGTGGGTGATTTATGTTTGGAAGCATGAAATTCAGGTTTGGCATCTTTGGTGATTGACCTCTAAGACCTAAACACATCCAGAAACATCACTTTCCCTTCCCGGTGTGACATGGAGAAGTACATTTTAACCATCCATTTCTTGATCCTACTGTGAACCAAGAGAGAGGCGGGTGGATGCCGAGCTGTCCTGCAGCGGACAACCTCTGACAACGTGAGGTTAATGTCCTTCTCCCCACTGGCCGCTCCGCCGCAGCACTGAGCAGTCACTCCGTTTGTTGGTAAAGGACACAGCGCAATGTTTTTGGGAAGGCAGAGGGGCGGCAGAAAAACCTGGAAGAACTAGATGCACTGCTCCTGTGTGTGCAGCACAGTACGGTGGTCAGTGACCTGTGTAAAGGCCTTTTTACACTGAATTACAGACACCTTCTCCCCTTCGCAGCCCACAGCAGTAAAATAGCAGTGGCATCACGACTTCAATCCATGCACACAAATAGTACCAGCAGATTTCAGGCCACTGTAACAGCCTGTCTTTATAAGGCAACAGATGCGATGGAAAAAAAACCCAAAGTCCTTCAGAGACACAGATCATGTTAAAATCATCGCTCCTGAAAAGGAAAATTACCTTTCCTTTTCCATCTGCTTTTCTTCCCATCTTTGTTACTGCACCCGTCGCTGCTGCTGCTGCTGCTGCTGCAGTTCTCGGAGCTCTGAGAGTCGGACTGGGCATCGCTGCTCTCCTCTGAGCCATCCGAGAGCTCCTTCAACCCGTCTGGAACATCCTTCTGCAAAGGGAAGACACAGAGACAGTTACCCAATCCTCAATAAACTCTTCCAATTAATAAAACACTTATAAGTAGCAGTTTTATTTACCAAGCACCTATTGTGGATGGTTTTTGTCAGAACTTAAACAGTCACGCTGTCTTCCATGAGTTCATATAAAGCATTTACCGCCTTTTACACCGCCCTCGCCATCACTTCACGGGTACACCCTTCCTTACGCACCCGCTGTAGCTGTCTTCACCCCCCGTAATCACCAACCCCAACGCGCTCCGGCTCTACAATCATCCACTCAAGTTTTGAGCTTCATACAGAAGAACAGTGTGACAGCTCAGTGTCCCACCGTCACAGGCAGCATTATTTTCCAGCCGGGTCCTCCGCAGCCCCTGCCCTGCCGGCACAGGTCCTCGCAAAACCAGCGGCAGGAGCGCAGGCTGGGCGGTGGGCTTCACGCACCCCGGGGGTTTCAGCCCCGCAAGTGCCAGAGGAGAAAACCGCAGTGGTTTTCACCCGGTCCACACCTAAACCCAGACTGCCCTCTAGTGATTATCCCGCCGAATTCAGATCTCAACCTACATTGCAGGTTAGTGCTAATTAGTGAGAACAAACTGTTTTCTGCTGCTGAGGTCTTCAGCTGTGGTCGTTAGTGTCACCACTGCCCAACCGCCCAAAACCGCTCGGGACGCCCCGCAGAGGCGCCGAGCCAAGGCGGGCAGGACCGCCGCCGGAGGCAGCAGCTCATCCCCACCTGACACCGCATCAGACGGCACAAAATCCTCCTGTTAATACCCCCTGGGAAAAGTAAATTTAACCACCTCTCCCTTTAACCGGAGACAATTGATTTCCTATCCTTTCTCTGGAATTAGAGCGATGACTAATTTCCACGGGTAATGCCAAAAAGTACCTAAGACAACACAAGTGTTATCAATTTAATTAATTCCAGACTTCTCCCATCAGCAAGGTGAACTAACAGGTTCAGGTATTCAATTGTATTTTCATCTCGCGCTTCACAAATAAAGTTACTTTAACTGCACATTAAAAGTTATTTGTAAACTGCAGTGGAAGAGAAGATATCACCAAAAGCAGGAAAAAAATCCTTTATCAAGCGTCACCAAAGTCGACAAAGATTAAGCTTGTGTATTCCTACTGCTGCCACTCCCCTCATTAAACCTCCTTTACAGCTTAACCGTTGCAAAGATAATTTAGTCACCTGAGATGCAGTAATTACACATTTATCTATCCCAGGTTTTTCAAGGTGTCTCTTTCAAAGTCTTCTGCTGAGGGGAGAGGAAGTCTCGGCGTGGGGCGCCTTCCCCTCCTACCAGGCATGGGGGAACACACGAGCAGCTGGAAAACCTGGACTCCTTGGCTTTTCCTGACGGCATTTCTGGTGGGAGGGGGTAAAGACAACGGAGCCAGACTCTTCTCAGTGGTGCCCAGAGAAAGGGAGAGAGGCAACAGGCACGAACTGAAACACATAAATTCCACCTCCACGTAAGGAAAAACCTCTCTGCTGCAAGAATGATGAAACACTGAAGAGGCTCCCAGAGAAGCTGGAGGTCTCCATCCTCGTAGGAACTCAAAACTAACCATGACTGAACATGGTCCTGAGCTACGCGCTCTACTTGACCCCCCATTAAACAGTGAGTTGGACAAGATGATCTCCAGAGGTCCCTTCCCACCACCACCATCCTGCGACTCCAACCTCCCCTTGCTTCTGCAGACAGCAGCCCCGTTGGCTCACAGAGACCGTACAACGTCAACACCTCTCCCTCCAGCTGGGCCTCTTCCTACCAGTGAAAGGTCTTCACCAGTGTCTTCTGATGTGCTGTCCAGTCTGCACTGTGGATCCTGTGTTTTCTCAAAATTTCCATGCAAGACGTCAGTGTAAGATCTCCACTGACACGAACTCTGCACGCACCTGCAGCTCACCCTCCTGCAAGTTCTGCTTTCAAAGCAGAAGTGAACTCACAACTGCAGAACCATCTTCTCTACGCTATACTACTTCTTCTTTCAATAAGTGAACTTATTCCTTCTAGTGAACCATACTCAATAATCAAATAAAATTTGGTCTCTCAGCTATCAGTCCTGGAAACGCAGCTGGTAAGATGGTGTGCACTGGTTTTAGTATCTGTGGTAAAAGTTGAACTAGTCAGACTTCTCCAAATATCACGTTAAAAGTATTCCTCCAGACTGGAATCTTCCAGCCCGCTGCTGAACAAATCCACTGCACAGCGGGGAAAAATTCCAAGGTGAATGCCCAAGGGCAGAGCTACAACACCTTCACCCAAACAGGGACAGACGCTATTTCATATTCAACGTCACAATGAATTTGGGACCCACAAACCTGAAGGTGGCAGAGAAACATGCTTGGAAATCATCACACACAAAAACCCAGTTGGGGTGAGAGGTCTACGTGAAGGTCAATGAACTGAGGTACTGGACTTCCAACTCGGCACAGCGGGTGGTTGATGGGACAAAGGCAAACCCCAGCGCAACAGGGACCCCGTGGGCGCTGCCGTGCCACGGGACAGGGAGCTCGCGGGCTGCCCCGAGGGCAAGCGCGGCTGGAGGAAGGGACAGGGAGCACCTGCAGCCACCCCCGTCCCTCCTCGGCAAAGGCACCCCCGGCATTCCCCCTGCACGGCAGCAATGCAGAGGAATCCAGGAGAGAAACGAGGGCATCCAGAAGTGAAAAAAGTCTAAGACAAATGTAGACACTGTGCGGCTGCCTCGCTCATCAGCTTTGGTTAGATTTTTCTATTTTACTTTTTACTTCTTTGACCTTTTTTCTCTCGACCTCCTGCCAAAACGACTCTGTTTCTCAGCATCAGCACATCAATTTTCAGTCTAAATCCTACGAGCGTACATGGAAAGCGAGAGCATCCGCTCCACTAACATCACCCAGTCATGGGTCTTTGCAACACAAAGTACAGGAGGAAGCAATAAATACAAATATAGAGACACATTCCGGATAAGCGGGGGGTACCAGAGACAACACCGAAGACCAAGAGGCTCCAGTCACTAACTGGTGGGCCACCCACCCCCTCCAGATGCTCCGGAGAGGGCCAACGTGAACTTTGGAAGTAATATGATGGGGAAATGGAGGAGAATGAGGATTTGGGATATTGGCGGGGGGCTGCTGTGGGATGATGCAAAGCTTAGAAAAGAAAGTTGAGGGGAAGGGGGTGGGGGAGGATCCAAGCCGGGGAACAAAAAAAATCAGACCCCCGAAGCTCACCCCGCACGCGCAGCCTTCACAGCCCATGAAAAATACCAACTACAAGAAATTCAAATGTGAGAAGTTACCAGAAATTCAGCACTTTTGCCACACGCCCTTAAAGGTCATGGCAATTTGCTTTATTCTGTAGCATTCGGGAGTACTTGGAGTCAATTTTCCCCAGGGGACCAAGCAGACCGTCCAGGCTGGACGAGCAGCAACCAACACATCCTCACTGGGCCAAATGCAGCTCACCTCGCGATTCAGAGCCACCGCAGCGGAGCACCGCTGGCCGGTTTGGGGTGTTACACAGCCCTTCAGCAGCAGAGCAAGTCTGGAGCATCTAATAATTTTTAAAGAGATTAACTGTTATTCTTTGCCTCCCCCTCCCCATGCAAAGCTTGGCTATTATCTCTAGAGCGCTGAAACAGTCCTTCTGGGGTTCAGTTTGCTGCCTGTACCCTTACTGTCAGGCGTGAGCGTCTCCCAGGTGGTACGTCCCCCCCATCCACCCTGCTTGCTGCTGCCAAAAATACACCGCGCCCCGCAGAAGGGAATCCTGTCCATCAGCTCGGGACCTGACCTCAGCCCTCCTTAAACAAACCCTTGCAGCTTAGTCGAGAAAGCAGGCGCGCTGGTCGGGAGCTGCGAACCACGCCGTGTGTGCTCTGCTTTGGCGGAGTACCCGCTCACCCCCACCGAGGCACGCAGTGCGTGCTGCACCGCAGGTCGCTTCTCATGACTTTAATTAGACAAGGTTCAGGGAAAGGAGATGACTGGGTACTTGGAAACAAAGGGACAAAAAAGAGGAACACTAAAACCACGTTAATAGAAATTAATGCGAAATGTAGTTCAATTGCTAGCTGCCATTAGGAGACCTCCTCTGGAGCATCTCCCGGCCACCAGCGCCAAGCGAACCCCTCCAGAACACCCGACCCTTCGAACGTTATTTCACAGAACTGACATATCCCCTGGGTATGATTCCCCGATCCGCTTTACGTATCCTGATCATCAAGTCTAAGGAAAAAAATGAAAGGAGGATGCTGGCAGTGTACCAGCGTCCTTCCTCCCCAGTTCAGTGTCCGTACCCCAGCTCAGTGAGGCAGCAGAAATGGAAGCGCACCTCTGCTTCACCCACCAAGCCCGTTGCTTTCTCTTTTCGGAAGTGCGATTCCCTGGACACCACCTGGCTCTGCTTCACCCCACCGCGCTGTAACACGGGGAATGGTCAGTCCCGCTCTTCAAAGTTTTCTAATTGCTATGTAAGCCATCGGGCTTCGTTAATCATGGATCCACCGCAGGATTTCTCACTCAACCCATCCTCTCCACGAGTCCCAGGCCCCTCCTGGCGCTGCGCTGGGACGAACGTGGCACAGGGGACGCGGGACTCTCCCTCGTCCTGCCAGCCGGGCTTTCTCGCTGCTCCGTAGGTTCCCACCTCCAGACTACACAACCCCAAGGAAGGAAAGATGACAACAAAACCGCAGTGTCTTTAGATACGCAGGACACAGTACGCCTTTGGATAACTCGGCAGCTCGTCTGACCTCCTGATGAATACAAATCACTACATTTAATCAACTGACTCCTACACCGAGTTAAATAATGTTGGAGTTTTGCTGAAGGTTGACATTAGGAAATATAATCAGTCTTCACTTGCAGATGTCATGAGCAAAACAAACTGAGCTACCACAGTAACTCGGAGCGTGGCGTGTTGCTCGAATGCACGCTGAGCCTTCACTTGCCTCAGATTTAACCTCCAGACACCGAGTTTGCCTATGAGCCACCCCGCTGCAACGTGCTCGCAATCTTTCAAAAGGGACCTTTTTTTTACATTGTGAATTATTTTATTCTTCGAAACTTTTCAGCACGGCTTTGCCACATCACAACACAGAATTCACTGACTCGATTACCTGTCTACTCCCAGGTCAAAATTTTTTTCCGAGTCATAACGTTCTGAAAAAACACTCCTTTCCCAGTCTGGATTTAGGGCCGGCGTTCTTTATTCCTAAAATCTAAAACTTTATACTTTCCTGTAGCGAAACAAACGGTGCAAGAATTAGTCCAGTTTACCAGCACACAGACAACTACTTTCCCTCCTGTCTCTGTTAGTCCTTACCCGAAACACACTTGGTATCAAGATGGAGTTTTATGTAGTTTCCCTTTGGTGCACTGAAATCAGCTCAGCCTCAGCTCAGCACGATGACGCTCAAAGCAAGAAGTCTGCCGGATGTCTTGCAATGGCATTTTTGGAAGCTCTGAGAACGTTTCACTCTAACAGCCGTCAGCACCAATGCACCGCACCCGACGGGGCGGCCTCTGTTGTCACGTTACGTACAAACACCCACGGAACAACCGGCTTTTACGGGGTGGAGGAGACAGCCAGACCAGGCTTCAGCTGAGCTCAGTTTCTGACAATGAGGACATCTTTTTCTGGACAAGTCTTAGTTGATTTCCTCGGTAAACTAACCGGCACTTGTAAAGCAGTTTCTCATATATTTTGAATATTTTAGGATGAGATGAATCTCCTCTTAGAAGCTATTATTTCTCTCTGCTGAGCACGGAAAGCGGTTCCAGCGGAGACACCTACACTGGAGAGCTCTATGTGTAGGGAGAGGAATCCTACCTTACGGCACAGTCTTCAGAGAAAAAGTTACAGAAAATCAAGAACAGTGTGAGCTGGCTTCCTTCTAGTAGTTTAACTGGGAGAAAAGGTTTCAAATAAAGATTGTTTTTAAAGATGTTAATCAGATAAATCAGGGAATCCACACTTTTCCCCTACAATGTTCTCTGCCTACTATTAACAGACTGAGGATAAGGTAATTTTTCATTTCTAGAGATGAGTTGAGATCAGTGACGATGAAGTTACCCTTTTAGGGCTAAAACTTCATCACAATTTTAATTACTCTTTTATTTCTGGGATAGTAACTAATATCAGCAAACTACACCGCTGAGAATAAAGCCAGCACCTTCAGTTGTACCTTCAGCACCCAAGTGCTCACAGCAGCAGCACAAAGACCTAGTGCTTGCAGCTGGGAGGAAAGTTCACACTACAATCCACGCTTCTGAGGAACAGTTCCTTCTTCCCTCTATTAGGAAGAAATTTTTCACCCTGAGGGTGGTGATCCCCTGGGGCAGGTTGCCCCGAGAAGCTGTGGCTGCCCCATCCCTGGAGGTGTTCAAGGCCAGGTTGGACGGGGCTTGGAGCAACCTGGGCTGGGGGGAGGTGGCCCTGCCCAGGGCAGGGGGTGGGACGAGATGAGCTTTAAGGTCCGTTCCAACCTAAACCACTCTATGGTTCTATGATTCAGGGTTATCCTTATCCGGTGGATTTTCAAAGGGAATAAAGTCACCCGAGCATTCAAAGGAGACTGCCCAGCCGAGACACTTACCTTCAGAGTGTAGACTCCCATGCGCCCCGGGACCTTATAGAAAATGCCCTCTTCCCCTCGGGAGTTTGTATGTAACATAGCATTCAGGCATGCAAGAGGAGAGGTCCCACTGAAAACAAAAACACGAGGTTAATGTTCGAACGTATTTGGTCAGCGTTAATCTGCTGCTGGGAGACAATCACGGCCCCTCGCCCCACCATCACGCATGCAGAGGCAGAAAGATTCCAGATCCAACTCCTATTCTCAAGGAGAATACAAGTTGAAGCTGCTGTAATAAGCAACAGTGAAACCAGTCCACGTACCCACACTCCAGTCCCAGATAAAAAAAATCAAACAAAAAAACCCCAAGTTCAGGCTCTCCAATACCTTTTTTGCAGAGCATCAAAGCGGTCACACGTTTTCAAAGCTCCACATAGTCAACGTTGCTCATCCGAAACTCAGAGCAGATTCGTTGTGAGTTAACAACTGACTGCAGAGCGCTTTAAAGTTTTGGGTTTTTTTAAGGAAAACCCACAGCATACTGAAATGAGAGTTGTGGGATAAAGAATGGAAACCATTTACGCAATTTTCCCTGAAAAGAGTGGAGCTCTTCGATCCCAGCCAGAGAACCGAGACAGAAGACCCACCGTTTCACCGGTGCTGGTGGGGTTTCTTTGTTTGGTTTTTTCAAACCCATCCCGCTGTAGACAGAAGCAAAATCAGGTGGACACGGCAAGGCAGGTGACTTTTGCTCTCGCTGCAGGCTCAGGCTGATCGCACCTCACAGCAAATAGGTGTCCCTGCTCGTACCGCTTATCGGGGTCGAGCACAACCCCCAGGCAGCGGCAGTGAGATTGCGCGAGTCGCTTTTGCCCCCCAACACCCCCCCAAAAAGGCTGCACCCAGAACCATCACATTGACTAAAAACCTACACTGGTGACTGATGAACTGAAATCCCTGAGCGGGAGAGACAGCCGTTTGTCTGTAGTAAGTTTTGCTGGGAACATTCAAACCAATCCCATCAAAAGCGGTGAAGCGGCCCCTGGGAGGGAAGGGAGGTAAAGGCAGGAGGAGCGCAGCCCTCCGCCGGGCACACGCGCTCCAAGTTCTGCCTAAGGGCAGCGAAACAGCTCAGTTCGTTACTGCTGCCCGGTACAGGGAGAAGCCGACGTCCCAAACAGGTCTGGGACCTGGACCCCAGCGCCTACGAGCTAACGGGCTGGGGACCCTACAAGGAACACCGGCCAGACAGCGTCGCTCATGAGCTGCAGGAGAGACCCCATTCCGAGGGGAGGGCTGGTATTTCTGTTGCTAGACCCAATCCCATCTCTGCTGACCATCACACAAACGTCCAGCGAGACACCGGTCCTGGGACGCCCCGGGGCTCGGGCAGAAGCCGGGGGGGGGGTACGCAGTCGTTCCCCACCAGCAGAGCTCACCGTGGGGCTGCAGCCCACAGTCGGAGCAGATGACCCCCTTCAAACCCACGTTACTGCATGCAGCGGGGGAGAAAACAGCCTCTACAGCCTCTCTGCTCTGCGGGATCTTGTGCCTTCCGAGCCTTTGCCAGTGGCATTTAACAAATACTAGCCAAAACGGTGATGAGGAAGGAATTTTCCAAGCCCCAGCCCACAGCTCATCTGACCGCCTTCGCAGACGGCTCAGCCCCACGCTCAAGCGAAACGCAGCGGCGCCGGAGGAAGGAGCTGAGCCTCAGGCACGCCGGGGACCGCCCGCTGGGTCCGCTTTGGTTCTCACGTGGCAAAACTCAGTGTCACTCAGGTACTCCTACACCGACCCAGCGACTCCTCTGGCCAACAAACGTCTTCCGGAGAGACAGCCAACCGTGGCACAACAGGGAAATCGGTAATGTCAGCGCCTCGCTTCGACCCCTGCCCAGAGTTCCTGCTGTCTTCAGCGAGCCCGGTTGGCAATCCAGCCGGAATCCCTGCCGCTGGCACACACTTCTCCTAAACACACCTGGATGCCACAGACAACCTCTCCTCATCTCCTCCTCGACGGACCCCACCGAAACCAGCTCTTGGTTCACAGCTCCCGCTGCAAACGCGGATATGCCGCATCGGAAGCAACCCTTCTCAGGCCGGCTTCACCAAGGCCACGTGCTAACTTCACGAGGCTAATCCGCTTCTCCAGAGCGCCACGAGGTCTCCCTGGAAGCTCTAATTCAGTGGGATTTCCTACAGCAACCCCAAATTCTTTCCAAAGGGTACACCCTTCCACTCTTCTCGCCTTCGCTCCTGGCTGTGCTTCCCACACACGAGTACTACGCAAGAACTGCGCACAAGTACACTTTAGAGGCCCAGCAGCACCTGGCAGCATAAACAATATACCTGTCCTTCTCCCGTCAACGTTCGTCGTCTCCGCTCCTATCACTACATCTAGAAAATTATCATTTTATGCTTCTTCCCAGCTCGCTGCTAGCACCGCAGGCACTGAGACATTCCCACGCCCGGGAGGCTCCGGGGCAGGGAGGAGAGCTCTGCCACCTACCCGACCTTTGGGTCACGGAGGACGTTCTTTTTAAAAACTGTATCAGAGCAGAATATCACCGTTAAGCCAAGCACTTCACAAAAGTCTCGGCAGAGCTGCGCGTTGGAAGCTCCCCAAGGAATGAAGCCTTGGCGGGACCGGTCTTTCCAAACGCTGTACTGGTCTGGCACCGACGCTGCTCCTACTGAACTGATTCCATTTTTTAACAGCTTAGCCACGATTTTTGCTTTCTTTTTTCCTCACGTTTACCCATCTATAGTTATGTGTCTTCCTCTACAGGCTCTTCTAAGAAAGCTGGCACAAACCTAACACCATTCTAGGCGTTCATAAAGCTTATGGAGAACGTTTTAGAAGCTAAAAATCAGTTGATAAGCCCCACTTAACTTTTATTAAAAAAAAGGGGGGGTTGTTTCTTTATAATGTAAGATGCATGGTCTTCACGTCATATTACATCCTTTCTGCCTCTGTCAGCGAGTACTCACCAGCACTCGAACCTTTCCTGTACTTATTTTGGTGACTACCACTCAATTTAAGGCAGCGCTCCGGGTGCGGGGAGCAGTCCGTGCTTCCGAGCAGAGTCCCCCACGGTTACCACCACCCCGACCTGCAGCTCTGACGGTTTGCTAACAAACCAATGTGCCGTGAGACTGTGGTCACGTTTCTTCTCGGAGAGGAAACTTGTTCTCCTCCGAAGGACAAGATCTCTCCCCTCGCTGTCCTCTGCTGCCCTGGGCTCAGAGTCCCCCAGCGGTCACTTCCCACTTTCTCCCACTCCCTGTGTTCTGCACCCAAACTCCCTTTTGCTATTTTCAACACAATAGCTGCCTAAAACTAGCCTTAGGAACCAGACGTTACTACGCCATTCATTTCATTGCCGGTTGGTTTGGGTTTTTTTAATAATAAAGGCCATCTCCATCTGGCAGGAACATACACATCAGCTGCATCTGACGGTTCCTGTCACTCCACCTCAAAACCAGTAGCTCAATCAGCAGATGAAATGAAGATGAGTTGCTGCCCGCTCCAGATTCATCATTACCCACTGAAATGATGAGAGGAGAGGCTGAGAGAGTTGGGGCTGTTCAGCCTGGAGAAGAGAAGGCTCCGGGGAGATCTTATTGCCGCCTTCCAGTGCCTAAAGGGGCTCCAGGAGAGCTGGGGAGGGACTTTTTACTGGGGCATGGAGTGACAGGACGAGGGGGAATGGCTCTAAACTGGAAGAGGGCAGGTTTAGATTAAACATGAGGCAGAAGTTTTTCCCTGTGAGGGTGGTGAGGCACTGGCACAGGTTGCCCAGAGAGGCTGTGGAGGCCCCATCCCTGGAGGTGTTCAAGGCCAGGCTGGAGGTGGCCTTGGGCAACCTGGGCTGGTGGGGGGTGTCCCTGCCCAGGGCAGGGGGATGGAACTCGATGATCTTCAAGGTCCTTTCCAACCTAAACCATTCTGTGATTCTGTGATCTCACTTCCATCCCACCCAGATCCACACTGCTCTGTGCACAGAGCCATTGTCACTCTCCCCCACCACTGACCATCAGCTCCTACTGAGGTGACAGTTACAGGACCACCCTTCTGGGGTCTCAGAACAGGATTCGTCCTTCAGAAAAGATGAAGTGGGGCTCAGCAGCACCACAACGTGACCAGTTTGTAACTGCTTCTGCTCCTTCACGTCCCCCTTCGGGAAGCTGCAGCAGATCTGTCAGAGCTCAAGCCCCTCACTTGATTTCTAAAGCTTCTGAACAGAAATGTTCCCCAGCTCTGTGACCATGGTCGTCGATCACCCTGGGCTCCAGGTAAGCTCAAGTTGTGGTTGTCGGCTTGAAGACGAAGGGTTTGAGGTGCAGAAGCATAAACCTTCCCAATTTAGAGAGGTGGGAATTACATGGCTGCTTTCAAGGACAGTCTCACGGCAGGCTCCTGTTCCACCAGTTACCTACAGCAAACGAGCTCACTGCAGCACGGACAGACACCACGCGGACAGTTACGGTGGGAGGAGAAGGAAGAAAGGTATAGCCACACGCGTTAATGTCAAACTCTCCCAAAGGGACCTGAACAAACACTATCCCTTCTACCAGCTCCGCTCCACATCCTTCCCCCAGCTAACGCCCGCCGCCCGGAGGCTGCTTGCCCCTCCTGCCCCTCTCCTGTAGGGCATTTTCATTTGATGATGTAATTAAGGATCTTCCAAAATAAGCCAAAGACCAATTATTACGCTTCCCACTGTGTTAGATCGCCATATTCCCCTGTTGTCACCCGGCACTAACGACCGCCCCAGAGAGGCGGTGGGCAGCAAAGGGCTCTCGCTCTCAGTTAAACGCAACGTCAAAACATTTGGCCAGAGGCTGGCAATTCACAGAATGTTCAGCGTTGGAAGGGACCTCTCGAGACCACCCAGCCCCACTCCCCTGCTAAAGCAGGACTGCCCAGAGCACATCCCTCAGGACTGCATCCAGGCGGGTCTTGAAAACCTCCAGAGAAGGGGACTCCACCCCCTCCCTGGGCAGCCTGTGCCACTGCTCTGTCACCCCAACCCTAAAGAAGGGTTTCCGTCTGTTGGAACGGAACTTCCTCTCTTCCAACTTGTGCCCATCGCCCCTCGTCCTGTCCCTGGGAACCACCGAGAAG